ATCCGTGTATAGAGCATTGGTTTAAAACCCAAAAATTTGATAAAAAACATAATTTTAGTCTGATAAAAAAAATGTTTTACTATTTAATTCTTGCATTAAAAGAAGTACATGTAACACGCCTTACTTATCTTTAGATGTTCTAACTGCTACAAATGTTAAACATATGTAAATGAAAACATGTTTTGATTAGTTATATATGACTGGTAACATTCATTATTACAAAAATGAAACAGAATCATTTCTAAATTAAAAATTTTAATGTATTCTAATACATGTATATGTGTTTTTCTATAAGAATAATTACTAGGGGAGTAAATGTGTAAGCAGCCGTCTAACCAATTAGATTTAGCTGCATAACGGTATTTCGACGGTCATGGGTTCGAGTCCCGGCTGGCTGCACATTATTCTCATTCTGTGGCATATGTCAATTTCTACTGAATAATAAAATCATGCTTGACAAACATGTACATTAAACACAAAAAAATCAAATGATATAATAGATATGCATGTTAGCAATTTATAATCTTGTTATTACATGTTCCAGTAATTGCACTTGGCCAAATGGCCATGTAAAACATGTAAAATGAAAAACATGTAGCATTACCCGTAATTAAGCACAATTCTTATTATATAAACAGGGTACGTATGTTCTGTCTGTATAAATTTTGCGCGGAAACACTAAATGCACACCGTTTTATGTACATTTTCGCGCTAAAACATCAAATGCACAGCGTTGTATGTACGTTTCAGCGCGGATACACTAATACGAGTACATGCCGTTTTATGTACATTTCCGCGCGGAAAATCCAAATGCACATCGTTTTATGTACATTTCCGAGCGGAAACACCAAATGCACGCCGTTTTATGTACGTTTCAGCGCGGAAACAGTAAAAGCACGCCGTTTTTATGTACATATTCAGCGGAAACACCAAATGCACGCCGTTTTATGTACGTTTAAGCTTCGAATACACGAAATGCAAGCCATTTAATGTACATTTCCGCACGGAAACGACGAATGCACGCCGTTTTATGTACGTTTCAGCGCGGAAACACTATTTGTACGTCTTTTTATGTACATTTCCGCACAGAAACACCAAATGCACGCCGTTTTATGTACGTTTCATCGCGAAAACACTAAATACACGCCGTTTTATGTACATTTCCGCGCTAAACACCAAATGCACGCCGTTTTATGTACGTTTCAGCGCGGAAACACTAAATACACGCCGTTTTATGTACATTTCCGCGCTAAAACACCAAATGCACGCCGTTTAACATTTTCGCGCGCGCGCGTGTGTGTGTGTGTGCTTGCGTACGCGCATGTGCGTGCGCGCGCGTGTGCGTGTGCATGCGTGTGTGTGAATGTGTGTGTGTGTGTGTGTGTTTGTGTGTGTGTTTTTTTTAACTTTAATCCTTGACCTGCTGGATCCGAAAGCCTTTTTCAACCAGTAAAGAGCCACCACAGCCTTCAATTCCTTGTAGACCATGTTCTATACTGTTAGAAGCTAAATTTTGAAATTTCATTAACTTTTATTCATGGAACTGTTCTAAATTCATAGCAATGCATATGCGCGCTTTTGCTTTAAATGCGTTCTCGTGCCTCTGCAGATGTTTATGAAATTACTGAAAATGAAAATACGCATTTCATTTAATCAATATTTTTCAATAATTGAAGTACATGATGAATGTGTATTATTAATGTAATTTATCTATAACATTAAAAAATTGACCAATTTTCGTTCAAACTAACATGGTTTCTTTTTCCCTAACCCCTAACGAGCTGTGATTCTTACCTTGACCTTGGACAATACATCTGAATATGAATTGCGATGTTATAAGACTATTTAAAGCAATCGTTATCTTAGTTTACTACCTGCATTTACGCATCAAGTTGTTACGCACTACCACTTCCCTTGTTTGGAAAACACCGATTTAATACTTTCTGTTTAGTTTCTATAGGATATATCGGATACAATTAACTGGTAAAGTGATTTATATCATTCGTTCTTTACGACATTTATAATATATTGTAGTTTATGTAAGAAGAACTTGCAAAGAATTACCCAAACAACAATCATTAATTTTCATCATCCTACAAATAGGTAGTTCAATGATAGTTTCTTTTTAAACTTGTAAAATGATTCCTGAACTTTCATCTTTATATTATCTTTTATACTCTGTGTTTGAATAAGGACGACGAGAAGACTGAAAACAGCCAATCATTCTGTCAAACAAAAAGTAGGAAACATACTTTCTAACAATTCCTAAATTCTAAAGTATTGCCTAAACTCATTTAATAACTAGATCTTATTTCCATAAACCTTTAAAAATATTGAAATTATGTAGTTACCTTTATATTTCTTATTATGCATTATAATAGGTTAAACTTGGCTTTGGATAGCAATTAGCAATGGGTTTAGCGCCATCCAGTTCCAAAAAAAGTGACATCTTCGACAACATTTTCTGTGAAAAACACGCTTCTAAAAAAGCAACGGGTTTTTGTTTACAACATAAGGAGACAATTTGTATGTCTTGCATTGTACAAAATCTACATTGTGACGACTGTAAACTTCAGGAAATAGAGTACGTCGATCGCAAAGTTTTGCTATGTCTAAAAATGAAAAAAAAAACTAAATAAGTATGAATCGAAGCTAGATGTTAATGTAATTGAAGATCAGATGACAACAGAAATTGAAGCCGCTTACGCACAGGCATTAGACAAACTTGAGAAGTATAAGTCCGCATCATACGAGGAGACAAAGAAAGAAATATCAAACTTGATTGAACGTGAAAAGGTCCTCTTCGCACAAGATATTTATCCTACGATAGATGAAGCTATTGGTCATTACATGTCTGGTAATATAACTGAATGTGAAAAGGTTTTCAAAGATATGGAGGATACACGTCTTATCACTGGTATAACATTTGAAAAAGTAATACCGCATTTTATTGCTGAGGGAAATTCTCTTGTGAGTGTGGAGGAGGTTTACATTCCAGAACAGTTAGACTGGGAAACATGTTGTAGATATATGTCTGATAATGAACCAGTTTGCGATTCAGATAATTCAAATGAGTCGGATGATGGTGTTGATGTGGCAAAATGTATTCAAGATTCAACACGCGATAAGTAGACTCCATTTATCTAATTTCAGTTTGAACTTATTATTAGCAGTTCTTTTTTTAATGGGATGTGAAATATTTCAACGTTAAATTTCAAAGGGACAGGAATTTATGATAATGTAGACATAAATAATGATGCATCCTACAGAAAATAACAGCACATTTTTTATCTATGAAAATCTGTACATAAAAGTATGGTATTCATGCACAGTTATATAATCAGTCAATGACATTTCCCGTCGTTGTGAAAATTACTTGTCATAAGCTTTGAGCGTCTTAAAATATTTCATTACATGTATAATTTATCATTCTTTTTTGACACAGACAACATCAATATTCGTTGCAAGAAAATAAGTTAAAAAGCATTTTTAAATTAGTTATCCTATTCAGTTACATGAATTGTGCAAAATTATTTCGTCCATGAAAGAATTGTATGCTGTCTTCCAGGGATTGAATATTGACACATTTTAAGAGGAAATTACGATGAAAATGCCGCTGGGTTACTTTATTATCATTTTTACTCTTAATAAGATTTCATCAGAAATGACTGCAAGGCGTTCACATATAGATCATATATTAAGAAATAATTGTTTTTTATGTAAATATATTAAATTTGTAATTTTCCTCCCATTGCATGATTTTAAAATTGGTTTAAAGATTGCATCAGAAATAACTGCAAGGCATATGCACATTTTATGTTTTTAAATGTTTTTTACAAAGTACATGTATTTAACCTGCAATTTTCCTTCCATTATATGTTTTAACAATTGTTTTGCTATTGAGTTTACATGCTTCATTGTTTTTTTGTTAGCACTCACACCAAACATGCTTTTATAATAAAGTCTAGACCTTGCATTCGAGTCAGTATTTTTTAAAAGGAAGACTACTATAGCAAAATATGAAGAAGACAAATCCAAGATTGAGTAGAAATATTTGGGAAAAGACCCTCCAAGCAAGACAGAGTGTCCACGGGAGACTAGAGTCGTACACGTAAATGATATGTGCTTGTGGTACCAAACTATGTTCCGAGAGAACAGCAGCCAGTGGGCAGAGAAATCGAATATATTAAGGGTAGGAATGGGCATATTCATGAATGTTAAGGACTATCTAGGAAATCATTTAGCATATTCAGACTAAAAGTTTCACTTGATTAAGTTTTAACATTTAAAGGGAGACACAGGCAAAATTTTCATTTCTTCGTTTTGATTTTTTCATTCATTACTCTGTAAATGTCATCAAAATAAATACACTAGGCAGTCATAGGAACAAAATTTACTCCTTATAAAGAATAAAAAGGTGGTTTCCTAACTTGACCCACGTGGGTCAGGTTAGAGCGTTAAGATTTTAAAATAGTTGCCACAGTGAACTCTGGACACGTTAAAGAACATGTTAAATGAATGACTTAGACTTGTTTCAAACATACAATATTAACAATATTATTGTAACTTTTAGGGTTTGTTCAAGTTTGTTCAAGTCACACGGCTTGTTTTAAAGCTGCACGCCTCCAGATGAGCCAAAATATTTCCAGAAAAAAACAATATTGAGCAAAATGTACTGACAGTTTAAGAAAGGTAAAAACATTCAAGATCCCAGTTAAATTGTCATGTTATGTGCGGTTTCAGACTGATTTTGCGGTATTTTATCACCATATTTTTACTGCGTTATTTACGCAGTAAGGGCTGCTTTTACATATGTTGACCACAATTTGGTAATTTTCTTGGATTAAAAGTGCCGGATTGCAATATTTAAATTACTTTATTTGTTCATCTCCCAATATTTTACTTTTAAATAAAATTTTAAATCTTTCATGAAAATTGACATTAATCTGGAGGCGTGCTGCTTTAAAACTACTCGGTGATTTTGTCGGCGTCTAAATTTCGTTCAATATTTCTAGTAGATATATTGACGCATTAAGCACAAAATATATAGAATTGATACAGAAATCCAGGATGGGGCTTTAAAAATGTCATTTTAGAGTGATTTGAGTACACTAAATTATTATAATATTTTTTTTTAATATTTTATTTGCCTGACCTTCCCTTTAAAATGATACGTAATATGTGTTTTAACATTAAGCAAGTAATTTCATATAGATCTACTCCGTGATTTAGTTTGAATATATCATATTATTACCCCTCACTTTTTTCGTAATGCTAATTTCCCATAGGCCTCTGGGAGTTATTTTAACTGTTAATGCAAGTGTACCCATGACTAAGAATTTTGTACTGTTACATAGGTAACAGTATTTTTAACAGTATCACGTGGTCTATTCTCTAAATAAAATGAAATAAAATGGCCGCCATTTTTTTCTCGATTCATTCTTATTTTACTCTTGGTTTATTTTTGTTACAGTTAGATTTAGTTGACAATTTCAGATCATCACAGTATTTTTGTTCGGGGTAATAAAATAAATAACACATGAGTTTGTGAGTAACAGTAAAAATATCATCCCTCATAAAATACTGTTACCCACAAACCCATGTGTCATTTATATACTATCAGTATTAAGTCCGTTGCAAGTTACATTTGTAATGAACGGAAAGAGTTTACTGATATTTAGCAATTGAATGAAATTAAGAAATTCCATTAAAGGTACTGTAAGAAACATTTATTAGCCAGTTAATGTTTTTTTTTCAATCGTTAAACTTTGTTTGTCGCCAATTTATCTTAACGTTACGTATTGGACAACTTACGGCGTGATTTTCCGAAGGTAGCGGTGTTAAAGTTAACTGTTTCAATGTTACAGACCTTATAGTCGGTAAGATAAGAAGTTTTTGATATTTGTTTACGGGACTTTTCTAGTGAATTATTTAAAGTCCCATTTATTTAATTAAGCGTAACGATTACACGTATTTATTAAATCAATTGTTACAGTACTTCTATCTAGTAAGACTCTTCGTCGGAAGGCATAATCTAATTTATTTATTTGTGAGGTATGATATCAACCAATCATCCTGTAATTTCTTTCAGAGATATTTCGATCAAACTTATGCGCAGAAAATAAGCGGGTATACTGCTGGGACTTGCTGAATAAGTTTATTCCATATATTTATATAATCGATTGGATTGCTTAAAAGATGACATAAATGAGTCAATTTAGAGATATTAAAGTATTCACTACAATATTTTTATACTTGTTCTAAAACGTATGTTTTTAGATACCAAACAGTACAAAATGTAAACCTGTCGACATTATTTCAGATACGTTTATAACTGTTTACAGTGTGTGTTTCTGAAATAAAAATTCAGGATGTCATAAATTAATATTACCGAAATATACCATATTCTTCGGTTGAAATTAAAAAAAAATCAAGAGTAAGAACTATGTTCAATCCGTCTTAACTCCGAAATGACCATAGATAATTAAAATGAAGTCATATGACTTTCCTACGCACCCTACAGGGAAGTTAATGTATAGATAAATTGTATGGTACTTCACCGTGGAAAAATCTAGAATATTAAGTTTCTGTTTCGAAACCATAATACAGGATAATTTAGATACTGATTAAGTAAGAATTTTATGGATTGTTGTTATATTGGAATACACAGAGAGAACAAACATCTTCCTTTAGTTTAGTTTGCTATATAAGTGATATTACATAATAAATATAGTTTCTTTTTCTATATGCGGGTTAATGTTGAAGTATATTTATAATTAGATCTATCATTTCTTTGTGGTGACATAGCTCTTTTGAAATGACTTTTTGAAAGTAATATTATTCGTTTGTTGTAGGAAGAAAAATGACATAATGGATAATTAACAGCATAAGTCAATATTGAACAGTTTAAGAAGATAATCCACTCATTTTGTTTCATTGCTTTACTATAAATAACAATATTATCTTGCCGAGACGTATCATAAGCTGTTTTTGAACAGAGGCAGTGCAAAATTCATGCCTTGTCGTTTCTTAAAATGGGCCCATCATTAGAAAAATTTTACTGTGAAAAACATATTTATAAAAAGGCTGAAGCTTTCTGTATCACACATAAGAGGCTCATTTGTATGTCTTGTATTGTGCAAAAGGTTCACAATAAAACCGACTGCAATATTCTGGAACTAGAAGTGATAGATAAATACCTGCTAAATTGTATCTATCTTAAAGAAATTCTCAAAGAGGGTGATGTGAAACAATGCGCTGAAACAATTGAAAGTGATATGCTAACAGAAATTGAAGATGCTTATTTGGAAGCCTTGGAACATCTTGAGGAGAGTAAGGCCGCATCATACGAGGTGACAAGGAGTGAAGTAACAAAACTGATTACACGTAAAAAAGGTCTCATTGCCCAACAACGTCATAAGCTAGATGCGGCTATTGGTTATTTTCTTTCAGGTAATTTGATTGAAGGTAAAAAAATTATAAGGGAAATCACGAATGGACAGTATTCATCTGAGATAACATTTCAAAGAAAAATACCGTTTTCTGATACTGATGAAAAATCCCTTGTGCGTGTGGAGGAATTGGAATTCGAGAAAAATGATGATTGGATGAATGTGTTTAGATTTATGTCAAATGTACAGGATTTTCAGACATTGAATCGGTAGTAGATTCAGATGATTCAGATAAGGTTGTTGATGACATAGCACAATTATATGTAGACAAGAATGAACTAGCCTAACACAGGGTTGTCTAAAGGTATTCAGTCAAATTCTTGCAAAGAAAATTATAGATTTAAACCTTCTGATATGACCAAATGAAATGACTTATCACAAATGAACTGAGTGGTTTCTCTTATTAAAACATGCTAGCAACAGACAATAACACTTTTTATTGCTTGTAAGGTTGGTAAATCATATCTAGATTTAGTGTTTGCGTTGGAATTGATTGTATGTTTAGATATTATTGTCACAAGTTAATGGAATAACTGCCAATAGTGTTATATATGAATGTTTCAATAAACATCAGGCTGTGCAAAAAATCAGTCAATTAAATATTTCAACCCATTTTGTGGAGATACATTGCAGTGTGCAGTGTAAATCTATTAAAGCATATGAGTTGTGTATTGTCGTTGCGTTATTGTTGTGGCATGTCAAGAGGCTAAATATAATATGTGCATTCTTTAAAGGAGAAATTATAATGGATCTTTGGAAAGATTCCCGAAGGGTTATTCTTTTAATGATTTTAATATAAATATGAAAGTATAAGAAGATTTAAAAAAAATATTCATATTGTTTGGCAATATTGACATGAGACTCATTAATTATCGGGAGATTTTTCGTTAGTTTCCGAAATTAACGCATACATTTTAATGATATATGTATAGTTATCAATATTAACAGCCCAGTGGCCTATCTGTAAGTACGACTAATGTAACCATGTAGTTGCAACTTCGAATCTTCGACTTAACTTTTTTGTAGATTTCATTTACTCATTTTATTTTGTTTTAATTATATGCAACTTGAGTTAATCAGTCATATGTATAACCGTTTATCTAAATTTTTTTAATTCTTAATTTTGTTAAACACATTATTTTTAATTTCATTAAATTCAGTTTGTAAAGATGATTATGTGAAGTTGTTCAATTGAGTGATTAGTATGCATAAATCATAGGAATCATGTTTTTCAAAGTATGATAAAAATATTAAAGAAAATACAGTAATAAAAGTGATAGACATATGATTCGAACCTACAATCTCAAATTCGAAACTGAAAGTATTACATCTTGTCATAAGGCAAGTGTAATGATAGTAAATTAACTCATACATGTACATATACCGTTGTGTTATACACCGAAATGTCATTGAAAAATTCAAAATCTCAAAAAATATACATGTATACTTGACTATATTTGACTACGTTTAATCATTTTCATTAACTTTGTGTTTCGAATGTGTACTTCCTACTCATATAACAT